CAGAAAATGATATCATGTTTGCTTATACGACGCACTCTCCGCTAATGATATCATGTTTGTTTATACGACGCACTCTCAGATAATGATATCATGTTTGTTTATACGACGCACTCTCCGCTAATGATATCATGTTTGTTTATACGACGCACTCTCAGATAATGATATCATGTTTGCTTATACGACGCACTCTCCGCTAATGATATCATGTTTGTTTATACGACGCACTCTCAGAAAATGATATCATGTTGGTTTATACGACGCACTCTCGGCTAATGATATCATGTTGGTTTATACGACGCACTCTCGGCTAATGATATCATGTTTGTTTATACGACGCACTCTCAGCTAATGATATCATGTTTGCTTATACGACGCACTCTCCGCTAATGATATCATGTTTGTTTATACGACGCACTCTCAGCTAATGATATCATGTTTGTTTATACGACGAACTCTCCGCTAATCATATCATGTTTATTTACACGACGCACTCTCCGCTAATGATATCATGTTTGCTTATACGACGCACTCTCCGCTAATGATATCATGTTTGTTTATACGACGCACTCTCCGCTAATGATATCATGTTTGTTTATACGACGCACTCTCCGCTAATGATATCATGTTTGTTTATACGACGCACTCTCCGCTAATGATATCATGTTTGTTTATACGACGCACTCTCAGCTAATGATATCATGTTTGTTTATACGACGCACTCTCCGCTAATGATATCATGTTTGTTTATACGACGCACTCTCAGCTAATGATATCATGTTTGTTTATACGACGCACTCTCAGCTAATGATATCATGTTTGTTTATACGACGCACTCTCAGCTAATGATATCATGTTTGTTTATACGACGCACTGAGTTTCAAGGGCGGAGGGAGTTGCCGGGGGAGTATCAGGATTTCATGGGGGCATACAAGGTGGGCGCCTGGAGCAGAGTTTCTTCCGGGCATCTCCGCATCTCAAAATAGAATTTATTTAGAAAATATATATGTTTACCAGTGTCCGCCCCCGGAAATTTTAGTGAGCATCCCCCCCCCCTCCCCCCGAGAGAAAAAATCTGGAAGAAACATTGGACTGGAATTGGTGTAGTTGAATTTCGTAGAGGTAACCACAGTAGGTAAAGAAAAGAAAAAATCTATTCCTCACTATATTCAGCCGATTTATCTTGCCAAAAAAAAACTTGTATATAATCTTTTCTCAGCTCATCACCATACTCAACAGTCACCACAGCATTAAAAAAAGACGCAAAAATTCAAAATATGTCATACAGTGCAAATGTCGTAAAAATGTTCCACAGCACAAATCAAGATGTTGATGTTGATATTGATGAACCACAAACATAGAAATGAACTGAGAGGGAGACGAACAATGTAAATATTGATGTGGCGCTGCTGTTTTAGCGGCCAGCAGAATCGAATACATGTATTTGAAGTATCGTGTGGTGAGTGAAAACAAGCGCGATCCCCCAGAGACACGAAATGTTTCAAATTTCCGGGACTCCGTCTTCTCTTCAGGAAACCAAAGTAAACGCCACTCAACGCATTAGCCGGCATCAAGCATGCTTTGAATTGTACGTGCTAGATGAAAATAAAGAAATGAACTGCAATCTTTTTGTCTTGGTCGTAAATCTGTTTATTCAGAACACAGACGGCTGCACTGTAGAGTATTGGGAAGAGAGATGGGGGTTTGGGAGGGGTGAGGTAATACAGCCTTGGTAGCATGAAGATAACTCTACTGGATACATGAGGGTGTTTCGAACTCTAAATGATCATTTCTGATGTACTTCTTCGTTTTTCCTTTAATAATATAGAAGTTACTTTAAGAAAAGGGAAAGTCTCAACTACAGAAAACATTTGAAACGTTTAAGTACTGAACACAATTGAAACGTTTAAATACTGAACACATTTGAAACGTTTAAGTACTGAACACACTTGAAACGTTTAAGTACTGAACACACTTGAAACGTTTAAGTACTGAACACACTTGAAACGTTTAAGTACTGAACACATTTGAAACGTTTAAGTACTGAAAACATTTGAAACGTTTAAGTACTGAACACATTTGAAACGTTTAAGTACTGAAAACATTTGAAACGTTTAAGTACTGAACACACTTGAAACGTTTAAGTACTGAACACACTTGAAACGTTTAAGTACTGAACACATTTGAAACGTTTAAGTACTGAACACATTTGAAACGTTTAAGTACTGAACACATTTGAAACGTTTAAGTACTGAAAACATTTGAAACGTTTAAGTACTGAACACACTTGAAACGTTTAAGTACTGAACACATTTGAAACGTTTAAGTACTGAAAACATTTGAAACATTTAAGTACTGAACACATTTGAAACGTTTAAGTACTGAAAACATTTGAAACGTTTAAGTACTGAACACACTTGAAACGTTTAAGTACTGAACACACTTGAAACGTTTAAGTACTGAACACATTTGAAACGTTTAAGTACTGAACACATTTGAAACGTTTAAGTACTGAACACATTTGAAACGTCTAAGTACTGAACACATTTAAAACGTTTAAGTACTGAACACATTTGAAAAGTTTAAGTACTGAAATACAAGCGAACGAATAGACTGGCAGATTGTGAGAAGGAAGTAGTCAAATTGGGCGGCGCATATGTGAGTGTACAATCTATTTCTTGATATATTGACGGCGACACTATAGCCGCAAGAGATTTGTCTGGGGTGCTTGCAGGGTTTCTTTCTCCGAGGAAGGGGGGGGGGGGGGGGGGGGGTAGCAGTCAAAACTTCCAGACGGGGGTGGGGGAGGCGGACGGACGGACGGACACTATTAAAACTTTATATTTCCATATAAAATCTATTTCGTTCGTTAGCCGCCCCCCCCCCCTCCCCTCCCCTCGAAACTCTGCTCTCAGTAAAATTTGAACAATCTACAATTATGAGCCGAAAAAAAATCAGCTTATACACTAGAAAAAGGATCTGTTATAGTTGATCTCAAACATAAACACCTTTTAATAAGTCTTCATCTTCGTTCTCACTTTTAATTTTGGAGGGAATTTAGCCCAACACAAGTATAAGCGTGAACCGTCAAAAGATTAGACGATCAAGAATAAAGTTATCAAATAATGTGCCCATTTAAAAATGTTTGAGATTCACTGCTTCTGTCCCAAGCATTGTCTCCAGCCCGATCAATGATTTGCAATATTTCAACACAATATCAACTGGCAGGATCGTGGCAGAGCCGAATGTCTGTTGGTGCAAAGTGTGCCGTATTTGAGGCCACGCCCTAAAATAGATCACAATCTGTACAAGTGTTGCATGACCAACATGTATACACCACAACAATCAGATTTCAGTTACTCGCAAATAAAATGTTACATTATAATCTAACAGATATCACAATCTAAATAACAAACAGAACTAGCTTGTAGCTGACCGATATAGATCCATATCAATCGCATATCATCTACTAAACCGGATTTGTATCACTGTATTCTATTCCAGATACCTTCTAGCTTACTTCTCTCCTGTGCCTCCTATGTATCGATTAGTAATCAGCAGCTAATGTGAATATTATACGCATCAAAACAAATGTTTCTAGACTCCAGTTATACAAGTTGATGGTATAGATCTTGTGTGTAGAAACATCGTGTTGTCTTAGCTACAAGCTGATTGTTGATAGCTTAGATATAGGTTACAAAAACTCACATATTTCTCATAGTATTGAGATGTGGTGGTATGTTTCATTAATGCCACCGTTGAAAACTATTTAAGAAAACTAAAAGGATAAAAATAAAGCATGGATCGCCATAATTTATTTATAAAAAAAAAAACACGTTAATTTGTCGGCTTCTAATTTTTGGCAATTAACTGTCGGGGTGGTTAGGAAATTTACTTTGTTGCATGTTTAAATTGAGGGAGGGGGAATCACCAGGGTTGGGAATTGTAATTCGCTACATGTTGCCACGTGATCTCAAGGACGTCCGCGCTGGATCAAACCTAATGTCATAAAGCTTAATAAGCGAAGACTCTTAAACATTGGTCTAACTAAGCATAATGTATGTGTATGGTTACTATTAGGTATTTACTATATACCACATATCGATGTATGTATATGTAGTATATATGTATATGTATATGTATGTGTATGTGTATGTGTATGTGTATGTGTATGTGTATGTGTATGTGTATGTGTATGTGTATGTGTATGTGTATGTGTATGTGTATGTGTATGTGTATGTGTATGTGTATGTGTATGTGTATGTGTATGTGTATGTGTATGTGTATATGTGTGTGTGTGTGTGTGTGTGTGTATGTGTATGTGTATGTGTGTGTGTGTATGTGTATGTGTATGTGTATGTGTATGTGTATGTGTATGTGTATGTGTATGTGTAGGTGTAGGTGTAGGTGTAGGTGTAGGTGTAGGTGTAGGTGTAGGTGTAGGTGTATGTGTATGTGTATGTGTATGTGTATGTGTATGTGTATGTGTATGTGTATGTGTATGTGTATGTGTATGTGTATGTGTATGTGTATGTGTATGTGTATGTGTATGTGTATGTGTATGTGTATGTGTATGTGTATGTGTATGTGTATGTGTATGTGTATGTGTATGTGTATGTGTATGTGTATGTGTATGTGTATGTGTATGTGTATGTGTATGTGTATGAGTATGTGGTTATGGTTGTGGTTGTGGTTGTGGTTGTGGTTGTGGTTGTGGTTAAGGATGCGGATGCGGATGTGGATGTGGATGTGGATATGGATGTGGATGTGGATGTGGATATGGATATATGGATATATATATATATATATATATTATATATATATATATATATATATATATATATATATATATATATATATATATATATATATATATATATATATATATATATATATATATATTAGCCCAATATATACAGTAAAATCGTTAACAGCACTGATTGGATCAAAATATTGATAATGTACGTGAACTAAAGAAACAAGCAAATGAAAGTGAATCTCACCTTCCAGGATCGTGTCTATCCTACAGATATCTTCTTATAAGAATTTGATTTTTCAACTTTTCTTTATGGAATTTCATGGTGTATTTTCATAGCAACTGTGGAATAGAAATGAAGCTATTAAGATTGTGCGGGTCTCCAGGATTTGAACTCTCCTGCTCAACAAACATCTGGTTGCCTGGTATACCAATTTGTTTCAGAGATATGAAGGGAGTGATAGCTATGTTATTGACAGACTTTAGTCTTCAAATACGTTCTTTTCAAATACAAATTTCTATTTTTATATAGTCTAATACTGTATCTTTTTCAATTGCAATGAAATCGAAGATACATAAACGTTTTGAAAAAAACTTGAAACTGTATGTATTTGTATGTAGGTAATAAATTTCGCATATATCTCTTAGTCAGGCATTGTAAAACAATCTTGTTTTAATATGTATTTTGTGTGTGAATGTGTTCTCATGTTCATTGTAGTGAAATCAAACGATTCAGCTTGAAACATATTTAAAGAAAAATTCTTTAAAAAACGTTTTAATAACAAGCTTTTATGTAATAATGCTCTAAAAAGTAGAAAATAAATTATACACTACTATTTAAATTACTATAAAGAAAAGCATAGGTCTCTTCCTAATTATTAGTAAAGGTATCCAATAGATACTAAAGTGACCCACGCTTTTCTTTATAGTAATTTAAATAGTAGTGTCTAATATTTAGGAAGATACCCACGCTTTTTTATAGTTATTTAAATAGTGGTGTATAATTCATTTTCTACTTTTTAGAGCATTATTACATAAAAGCTTGTTATTAAAACGTTTTTTTATGAATTTTTTTTCAGTACTTTACATGTTTTATTTACAATACTTATATGACTATTGTCCATTGTCAATGTCAAGTTTATAGCTAAAGTTTCGGTAAAATATTATGGGATGGCGTAGTCTAGTGGTAAAGAACTAGACTGCTGACCCGACTAAAAACCATCGCGCGCCCATCGAACGTGATGACGCGTTTTTGTCGTAGAGCCCTCCCTCGATGCACGCCCAACACGGCCGTCATGACTCGTGTGGATAGAACTGCCTACTAATTCGGTCCAAATTTTAATTAATTCATAAAAAATGAATTAGGCATCCAATTAAGTCAAATTTAATGTCATAATGCATTGTGTTCATGTCTTGACCCACGTACCAAATACGAACCGTATCTGTCTGTTATAAGTGTCCGAATTTTCGCTCCGGTGTTTCGATCTAGACAGACAGACTGACGGCAGACTGACGAGAAAGTGAGTTAAATAAAAACTTGTAAAAAGCCAACGTACAGGACAACTCAAATAAATATTCTAAACATGAACATGAACACACAACATGCACATGAAACCGGGAGTGATATCCCCTAAACTTTCTCGAATATTCTTATATAACTTGGAATGTAGACATAATTTTTAATTACTTAAACTTTAAAAAATAGAATAGGATCTCATAGAAAAAAGAATTGCGCACCAAGCAATATAATTAGTACTTTATAAATTTGCATGCGTTTTTTGAGAAATCGGAAATAGCGTAAATTAGTACTTCCGGTCAACGGAAATTACTCAAAATTTGACAGAAGGTAGAGAATTAGATTTATTACTTACATGTGAAATTTCATTTATCTATCTGAAATAGTACTCAAGTTATAGGCTTTTGAAAAATTCAAAGTAGAAAAAGTATTACTTCCGGTTATCGCAAATCGCTCAAAAGTTGATACGGATCTACGATTTTGATAAAATACTTATATATGAAATTTCATCAACCTAGCTGTAACGGTACTCAAGTAATCGTGTTTACACACAGACAGACAGACAGACAGACACACACACACAGACATACGGACAAGATTGCAAAATTATGTTTTTCCGTATCAGTGAGGTGTAAAACGCAGGGGCGGAACTACAGTGCCGCCAGACCCCGCAACGCGGGGGGGGGGGGGGGGGGCAGGCCATTTAGGGGCCCAAAGCCGAACAGAATAAACTTTTTTATAGTTAAAAAAATAATTTTTTTTGCAAAAAAAAAAAAAAACATCAACAAACAGATCTACTACATTAGTGATGTTCTACAGCAGCTAACACACGCTGTTTCATAAAGGAAAAACATATATAAGGGGTCGTCCATAAATGATGTCACACACGTAGGGGGGAGGTGGGGTCCGTAATTTTGTGACGGTGTGTGATGAGGGGGTGGGGGAGTCAGATGGTGCGACGTCACACTTTTGCATTATAAAAAAGCAATGTTAGAAAACGAATTTTAGACGTTATTTCGCGTTTTAGAAAACTTTTAATAAATTGTAATAGGAATTGATTAAAATACTCTATTTTTAACACGTTTTTCTTAACTCAGCTTCGCGTTTGTTTGTTTGTTTGGATGTTTGTTGTTAAAATTGACATCGAAAATTAGCCCACTTCTGATTGCTCTACAGATCTGAAATTTGGCATGTAGGCTACTTTCGCCTAACAATTTCAGATGCAATCATAAAAACTAGCAATTAGAGACCGTAATTAGCTTAATTTAATTACGCCCCAAGGACCATAAAATTGAGGACATGATTTCTAAAGATACCGACAAGACTGGAGGCCTATTGGCACAGTTACTTCGGCCCCAATTGATGTGAGCGCGCTGGCCGTGATCGTATAGCGGTTAGTACTTCGCGTTGTGGCCGCGACAACCCAGGTTCGAATCCTGGTCGCTCAAGATTTTTAGTCCGTGTATTTATAAACACTTAGTCAAGTCATACTTAATCAAGTCATTAGATAAAGTAGAAAATAAACTATATAAAAAACTTTTTTAAAAACCACGTTTTTCATGTGTAGCAACGGACTAAAAAGGAGAAAATAAAATACTTAAAAAAACTTTTTAAAAAACCACGTTTTTCTTGTGGACTAAAAAGTAGAAAATAAATTTTCATACATTTGATGACAAAAAACGTGGGTCGGGCAGATGGGTCGGGAAATTTGATGGTGAACGTACCCACGTTTTTTGTCATCAAATGTATGAAAATTTATTTTCTACTTTTTAGTCCACAAGAAAAACGTGGTTTTTTAAAAAGTTTTTTTAAGTATTTTATTTTACAGAGTTCAGACAAGAATATAGAAAAATATCGGTTTAAATTTTTTTAACTGCAATTATAAGGGGGATTGTAGGCTGAAGTGTGACGTCATTTTAGGGGGGGGGGTCTGGATTTTTGTGAAGACGTGTGACGGAGTGGTGGGGGGAGGTAAAAATCGTCAAAAAAAGTGTGACGTCATTTATGGATGACCCCATAGCTACATGAGGTGTAGTGTGAAAGATAGGCAAACGTTCAAACAACTTCCATGACTTATTTCCCCTTTTTAAATAGTCAAATATGTGTGCTCTTAATTAAGAATTTTTTTGTTGCACTAAATAAATTAAAAATCAATTACTTCTTTTAATTATTATTTTTAAAAAATACATAATAAAGAATGACATAGTATAAAAGGAAATGTATTAAAAACTAATAATATAAAAACAAAAATACTTAAAAATTAACATAAGGCGAGAAACCATTTTACATACAAAGATTTCATGCTTCCTATTCTTTTGACTTCCTTGTAAACTAGTTGGCACATTGACAAACATAGAAAGACTAATAGCACTCACACAAATGATGTGTTGTTGGTAATAATGTTTAATTAAAAATAAAAACTACGAATTTTAATTTTTTTCAAATTTCGAAGAAGCCTGTATTGAGTATTCTGTTGTTTTTTTCGTATTTAGTTTATATATATATATATATATATATATATATATATATATATATATATATATATATATATATATATATATATATGTATGTATAGGGCCCACATTTTTTTTATTGCGGGGTGGCCCTTTTTTTCTAGTTCCGCCACTGGTAAAACGTCGAGATTTGTAAAAAATCTCGATTTTTTTTTGCACGATTACAATACTTTCTCTATACTTCGTATATACGAGAAAGTAAAAAACCAATGGTTAATAATTTCCTTATTACAAAACATTTATCGTGTAAAATGTATTTTTAAAAATAAATCCTGTATATAGATGTAACAAGTTGTTAAAAATGCGGGTTTATCGATGGCAGATAAGAAACTCTGTTTATTGATCTTATGAAAGGGATCGAGTTTCCTTCTAGTATTGTTAGATTTGGCTGGTTTTACAACTTTCGTGACTGGTGTGTTTGCTATTTGAGTTACCGTTCCTAGGCAATAACGTTATCAACATTGATCTTGGCCCCATGATCCCGTCCTACTAAATAATTTATTGTCAGTAGCGTCATAGTAGTTGTTTTATAGCTGTGGTTAAGACGTGCCACACTAGCATGTTTTATAGCTGTGGTTAAGACGTCCCCACACTAGCATGTTTTATAGCTGTGGTTAAGACGTCCCACACTAGCATGTTTTATAGCTGTGGTTAAGACATCCCACACTAGCATGTTTTATAGCTGTGGTTAAGACGTCCCACACTAGCATGTTTTATAGCTTGGGTTAGGACGTCCCCACCCTAGCATGTTTTATAGCTGTGGTTAAGACATCCCACACTAGCATGTTTTATAGCTGTGGTTAAGATGTCCCACACTAGCATGTTTTATAGCTGTGGTTAATATGTGCCACACTAGCATGTTTTATAGCTGTGGTTAAGATGTCCCACACTAGCATGTTTTATAGCTGTGGTTAAGATGTACCACACTAGCATGTTTTATAGCTGTGGTTAAGATGTGCCACACTAGCATGTTTTATAGCTGTGGTTAAGACGTTCCCACACTAGCATGTTTTATAGCTGTGGTTAGGACGTTCCCACACTAGCATGTTTTATAGCTGTGGTTAAGACGTCCCACACTAGCATGTTTTATAGCTGTGGTTAAGACGTTCCCACACTAGCATGTTTTATAGCTGTGGTTAAGACGTCCCACACTAGCATGTTTTATAGCTGTGGTTAAGATGTTCCACACTAGCATGTTTTATAGCTGTGGTTAAGACGTCCCACACTAGCATGTTTTATAGCTGTGGTTAAGACGTGCCACACTAGCATGTTTTATAGCTGTGGTTAAGACATCCCACACTAGCATGTTTTAT